AGCTGGTAGCACTGAGATAAGCACAGGCTTTCCCCAAAAACAAACCCTGAAGCTGTACTTTGGGGGGGTTCATCCCTCCTTTATCCAGCCTGCACTGAGAAAAAGATAGACCTAGATTTCAATGGTAGGAGTCTTGGAAGATTGCGAGTGAAGGATTTCAGGGGCAAATCCCGCACTAGGCTAGACGGAGGCACTGCTTGGGACTACCTACATCACATAATAAGGCTGTGTTTTGCTAGCAGTCAAATAACAAGATGACTTTGCTGACCAGACGTCGTCCTTGCATAAGCACAGTCTTCGGCTGTGGATTTTGCCCAAAGTAAAGCTGAGCCCCCAAGAGGAAGTACATTTCAAAACACAGTACAGCAACACAATAAAGGCATCGTCTATTTTACACAAGTTACAAACAACTTAAGAAGGTTTTGGCATGTGCAAAATTTAAAATCCATGTACCACTTTCCAAAAAAAGAGTAGAAACGAAGTGTCCAGCTACACTTCGACCTAAGTCTGCCAGCGCCCCAGCTGCACCCTGTGGTCTTTCTCATTTCAGAGGAGTTTTTCAATGTTAGAAGTCTCTCTTTGAATCAATTTTTCATTTTGTTAAAGGAAACTTAGGTACAAATATCCAGATATTTTCAAGTATAGTTTGGTATTTTCTTTCTGTTCCTATTGAAGTCTCCAAAACGTTACAGCCATGATTTAATGGCCTGTGTTGTGTGTAAGGAAGAAATTAAAGAAAAAGACAATAAAAGAAAGCAGAAATTTACAAGCCCACTTAAGCAGAGAGGTACTTAAAACTGGCGGGTACTTGTTTTTATGCTTTTATTATCACTCTAATTTTAGTTATGTTATTTTATGATACCCAGTTAGGGCCAAGATCTCATTGTTCTAAGCGTTGTTCTAATTTATACTGGTGGCATTGCTTTCAGAAAGGTTTAAATCTTTTTCTTGAGCACCTCTGCAGCTGAAATAAAATGTAACTTGTCTTTTCACGTAATCCAGAATTGAGCGAGTTTACCAAAGAGAGAGCTTTATCTTCTGCAACTCACCCAGGCAAAGCTTGCTCTGAAACAAATGCAACCGTTCCAGATCCACGTGAGGTTTCTGCACAAGGATGCTGTGGATTTTAGTCTTGATTCTGCAACTCTTACTTATCTCTGCAGCCCACAGAAGCACCGCTGCAGCCAGCGCTTGGGCTGGCTTCAGAAGATCCCTGTGGGCTTTGCACTCCCTCCTTTGCTTTGGGGATTTGTATTTTCTTTTATGCTGCAGTGAATTGCAATACAGTGCAATTTCCCATTCTTTCACGGTGACTTGTTGGAAAATTTTATCTGTCATTTCCCAACATATGTCAGAGGCAGAAATAAGTCATTAAGGGACTAGCAGAACTCGACTGGCGCTGGCCCCTGCCTGCACTTCAGAGCAGGCAGAGTAGCTGCTGACATCTGCGGCAGACAAGCTGCACTAGCAGGAGTTTATAATATAAACCCTGTAACTAACCAGCAACTTGCTCCATCACTCTCAAAAGTTTAGCTGTTGTTGTTGTTGTTGTTGTAGTTTTCATAGGAAAAAGGAACAAGAAAAGCGTGAGTCAAGCGGCTGCCACGTTACAAAACATTTCTGTTTTTCCGAAAATGTCACACTGATGACATCCTGTAATCTTAGTGATGCAAACCTTTCTCTGATTAGGGAAGAACATTAGCAAACAGCCTAGCTAGGTGATCAGAAATGCCCTTTATAACATAAAAATCAATGAAACAGTACCGAAAGCATGTGCAGGTGTTTCCAGATGGGTAACATACGCTGAAAACACCCAGGAAACTTAGTTGTCTCACCTGTGAAAAGACATTTCTTTTTGCTAAGGTGCATTGTAGACCCTAGTAAATACACTAAGGCCTATGAAATTATCAGATGCAATCTACACAAATTATCAGATACAAATCTCTTGCAAAAATCATCTGTGATTGAAGCCACCTGGGTTTCCAAATGCACAAGTTTGTTTTGCAGTGAGGTTGTCTCTATAGCTCTTGTTTTCCGTATTTCTACCGTGAAGAGAGAAGCATGTGGCTGAAGAAGATGACCAAGGCAAAGATACTAACCTGGCTTCCCAGGCAGGCGAAAGGGAGCCTGCTGGGAGTGCTTCAGGGCGAGCACGATCGCCATGCTGGTGGGGAGGGACCGAGGTAACAGCCCTTCTGTGACAGCCCAATTCTTCAGCATCCAAAATATCTCGTACCTCTTTCTCTACCTTTTTTTTTTTTAAATTAAAATAGTCAAATGCGTGCCAAGCTGCCTTTGTATCACTCTGAAGTCTTAATTAAAATGTAATGTGGCACGAAGTTACGTTTCCTGAACCCTAATTTGCCTTAGAAATCATTAATTGTGTACACATCAGTGGGTGGCTATCTTGCTCTCAAGGGGCAGTGACGAGTTGTTAGCGAATGTGTCAAAAATAGTTGATGGGAATACGAGTGGGAAATGCCACAACCTATACAGAAAGACTGGAAGGGAAAAGAGGAAAGGATATAGTCTTGTACATTAGAGATAGGAGATAACAATGCAGCAAAGGTACAAAACAAAAACAACAAGTCCTTTCCTCTTTTCCCTTCCAGTCTTTCTATCTAGGCTTACGTTTTAGTAAGGGATGAGTGAGTTGGACTAAGCCCACAGAATGGGGCAAAATAGCCAAAAGCAGAGGGCGGGATAAACTGAGAGAACATGTTTGCAGCCCATGTGGTATGAGAAAGACGGAGAGTGGCAAACTCGGGAAGGAGATGGGGAAAAAATAACAAGGAGGATACCACATCCTTTATGCAGAAATCAATGACAGATAAAAATACTGTTAAAAAGCATGACTTAGCCTACTATTGACTAAAGCTAAAGAAAAGCTGAGGCTGGACAACAGTAATAGCCTTAGGACCTGAGTCTATGCTCATCAAAACACAGACGGCCCTTGCCCGTGCTGCCCCAAAGGCTGATTATCGGTTTTCCTATCACCGGACTAGACAAAGCCACAGCACCTCTGAGCTACCCAGGAGATGCCTGGGTAACCTCAATTTCTGGACTTTCCTAATTGAAAGTATCCATATCAATTAGACACTATTACTAATACTTGGAACTTCTGCCATTTCTTAACAGGAAAATCTTAAAAGCATTCGCAAGTCTCGCCTCTAATGCTTCTGTCTGGTAAGTATTTTCATTAATATGATGGCTATGACGTCATATTAAAGAATATCTCCGAGAAATACTTAATTAGTCAGTCAGCAGTTTCATAACTCAGAGCTCCTCTTTATCTTTCGTAGCTGCAATATTGTAACTTTGCTTTGCTTCCCTCCCCCACTGTTTTATGAAGTGCGTAAACGTACATTGCCAATACTAAGCAACCAGTTCAGATTTTTAGTTAACTAAATCATTCAAGTGTTTTAAATCTGTTAACAAGCTGGTCATTAAATGAATCACTGACCTATTTCTCAGCTACTCCAGCTAAGAAACTATAACTGATGACCAATAAAAGCATCAGTGTGTTAAAAGAAATTATTAGTTGCAGAAGGAGAGCAACAATTGGTCACTTCAGCAGCTCCCACCAATCTAAACACAAAGATTCACCATTGCCAGCTTCAACTAATTCCCCAGAAATCACATTTTGACACAGACTAATGTCTAGGGGAAGTACCATGAAGCTGCTACACTGGCAGCATACATCTCTTCTTCCTTAGTTTATTACTGGAAAATCTTATGCAAGTATTTAAAATGGCTCAAACCTGGGATGCTCCAGAATAAAATCTGGGGTGCAGACTCTCCCGGACTCAGTGGGATGAATTTTAGACCTAGCACTTACTTGTACAGTGGAACAAACCAAACCTATGGTCCAACCACACACACCCCTGCTTGGGGACAGGTATGGTTTAGACCCAGGTCCAAATTCTGAGCCCTGGCTAGGCCCACCCCATATAGCAAGAAGACTGAAAATGTTGGTTTTGATGTTGAGCTCCTCTGTTGTTCTCATCCAGCGACAGGTGATACGTGGTCAACCCTCACGTGTTTCTGAGTGAGCGGGCGGTGGTGGGGCGGTGGGCGCAGAGGGCAGGGCAGCGTGGAGGTGTGCAGCCACGTCCCGCGGTCTGCACACCCAGCCAGAGACCACTGCCGGGGGGGGACGACGTCCCGCGGTCTGCACACCCAGCCAGAGACCACTGCCGGGGGGGAACGAAAATCAGGAGGAGGGAGGAAGGGAGGCAGGAGTTACGCGCCCCTTCACCACCTCCATCAACCGTGGCACCGTGGACCCCCACGCCAGGCACTGCATCCTGGTGGGGCTCGAGACCTTCTGTCCGCCGCAATCTACAGCCATCGTCACACTGGCGTCTGAATGCTTTCCAGCTAAACCACCTGCTCCTAACAAAAAATGATGCGGTTTTCTGCTTTTTCCCCTTACCCTGCTCAAACCAGCCCAAAATACTCAGTCACAGGCTGCCAAACGAACCAGCCACTTTTCCCATTTGCTTCAGACAGCCCCACTTGGGGGTTGCCTTTTGGGATCATAAATGCACAGTGTCCCACTGTGCTGGGGTGAGAATTACACCTTGAAAACCAAGGCGAGGGGGAGGCACTATTGAAATCTGCTCGCTCAACCACCCTGAAAAGCAACCTAAAACCTTCCTGCTTTTTTTTTGACACACATAAATGATCTTTCCTGTCAGATTTGTATTTGTGTGATGTTCATCCTGTGGCACTGCATCTAGGTGAAGACAGATGGTAGTAAAGTCAGCAGTCAAAAAAGCAGAGGAGAGTAGGAGCGTGCTCACCTACAGTGTAAAGGTGCTTCAGCCGAGCTAGTGCTTGAAGAGCAACTTCTTTTTTTTTTTCTTCTTTCTTTTGCAATCATTGCTTGCTTGACAGGCCCAGACGGAATTACATCACTTCCTAAAACCCATCAAAGAGAGTCCATCTCCTGCAGAAATGCAGCTCAGATGCACCCCGGCAGGAAACAGGAAATGTAAATGTTCGGGTGAAGCAGGGAGCCAGCCGAAGCACCCCTCGGGTGGGAGCGCCGCCAAGGTAACATGCGAAAGCAAAACCTCATCACACTACTTTCTGCCCTGCCGCTGGCCGGAGGATCTGCCGGGAATGGTGAGTAAGAGAGCGCCTTTCGCCTTCCAAGGTTTGACCGTGTTTCGTGCCTGCAGCGATGGGACCAAGTAGGAGGGCAACACCCTCCAAACCGAGCGCTAGGAGCAGATCTGTGGGGACGTGCGCTCTGCTTCTTTCAGCTGTGTTTACCCTCCCTGTTTTCAGCTGCCTGCCTTTTTCAAAGCTTTGACTTTTTTTCCTTAGACCTAACCCCGAATGGCAGCGACCGAATCCTACAATTCCTACATTTCCTAAATTGCATGTGTGTAGG